GCGTTACAGGTCACTGTGCACCAAGACAACCAGGCACAGGGACAGTTTCTTCCCCCAGGCTGTCGCTCTGATGAACACTTAATCCACGACAGTATGATTGGACAATAACCCTCAGTGCAATACCTGTAAATATACATTGTACAGATTATACAGACTCGTACAGGTCTCTAGTTTTTAAGTACTCTGTTTTTATCCCCATTTATCTCATTTCTTTTCTGTTTAAAAAAAAAAGTTTTCTGTTTAAAAAAAAACAACAACTTTGTTTCAATAAAAAAAACAAACAAAGCATTAAGTACAGTTTTGAGGTATCTGTACTTTATGTTAATATTTTGATTTTGTGCTATTTCATACTTTGACCACAACATTTTAGAGACAAATATTGTACTTTTTACTCCACTTCATTTGTTTTCTAACTTGAGTTATTAGTTACCTTTCAGAACCAGACTAATATGAAAATTACAGTATAACCATAACACTTTATTGATCTCTAGTGGAAAATTCATGAGCTACCCAGCATTCATTCAACTTATAAGCATATGCTAGATAAAACTAGCTGCCCCTTTACAACATTACATGTAATCAATACAATAATGCATCAGTAATTATAATCAAATCACACAATATACATTGTTAAATGTGCCCTTCTGCATAATGAGTACTGTATATAATGAATACACAATGAGTACTGTATATAACAACACTTTTCTCATAGTACAGTAGTTATTTTATCCAAACCATGAACCCTTCCTTGGAAAGTCTAAGCAAAGAGTTTCCTCTTATATCACCTGGGCTAATATTCCATTCTTTACTAAAATCTCTTTGCATTTTATCCTATATCACTCTGGTCCTGATGATACATTTTTAAAGCTCCTCTGAGGGAACAGCAGCGAAAATTCATTGAGCATCAGATGGACTGAGTAAACATATAGTCTTCATCCTAAATAATAAGAAATAAATATGAAACTAATATTAGTATTAATGAATCAGAATTAAGCAATAAAGATACAAATAACAATAGAAAGAATTGCTGAACAGACCAGGTTTCCTCAACTCTCTGGCCTTTGACCCTGTTTACTGTATGTTCAAAATACTATTAAAATAATGATTCAACAATTTGGGAAAAGAGTTCAGAGAGAAGAATTATATCATTCATACCTGTGTGTTAAGTATGGAGTTAGATGTCAGGATGTTATTAGCATAAAGACTTGAGGTAGGAGAAAACGGTGAGCCTAGCTCTGTCCAAATACACCTAAAAACAATTCTATTGCTCACTATTGCATTTGTTTAATTCATCCAAAAACAGGCATATAAAAATAAACCTAATTTTCGTGAATGTTATGTCCTGGCAGTATTAATTTGGTGATTTCTTGGTCACAGTGACTGTGCACAGCTTTTCCTCACAGATTTGGTGCCATAGTACCTGTACAGATAACCAAATCTATGCTCACTGACAGAGTTTTAAAGGTGTTGGAAGACAGTTCATTTTGGACAGACAGTTTTTTTCTCCTGCTTCTAGTCTTAATGCTAAGCTAGGCTAACTCCGTCCTTAACTATGAAAGTTCAATGAAAAGCTGAATATGATAAGCTTCATAAATGTGGGATGTACAGTACTGCTGTTGGATTGGATGTAGCTGACTGTGCCTAATAAACTGGTAACTTTTCATGAAATGGCTGTGTTTTTGCTAAAAAGATGAACACCTTAGCCCATAGAAAGGTATTATAAAACTAATAGGTTTCTATAAAACCAGGCATCATACCTGGAGACAGTCCGCAACTGAAAAACAACAGCAGTGTTAAAGTGATGCAAACTTTGGTTTCTTTAACCATCACTGTTGTTTCATACTGTTAATCTACTATTAAACTTGACTAGTCCTAAACCATAGAGCTGGAGGCTCAGAATTATGAGCCATGTTTGTCAAGGTCATACCACTTTTAGAAGGCACTAACAAACAATGTCAACCTAACAACAAGACTGACCTATCAGGAAACACTTTGTTAGTGATACTAACAGGCCGAATTTTTACAGAAGAGGCCTTGGCAAAGTGCCACAAACTTAGTAAATTCATGTTATTCCCAGGATGAACCCTGCCCATTTTAGGCACTATGGTAAAAAGAACTGAAAACTGCTGTTCACAAATGCTCTCCATCCAACCTCACTGAGCTCGAGCTGTTTTGCAAGGCGGAATGGGCAAAAATTTCAGTCTCTTGATGTGCAAAACTGATAGAGACATACCCCAAGTGACTTACAGCTGTAATCGCAGCAAAAGGTGGCGCTACAAAGTATTAACTTAAGGGGGCTGAATAATTTTGCACGGCCAATTTTTCAGTTTTTTATTTGTTAAAAACGTTTGAAATATCCAATAAATTTCGTTCCACTTCATGATTGTGTCCCACTTGTTGTTGATTCTTCACAAAAAATTACAGTTTTATATCTTTATGTTTGAAGCCTGAAATGTGGCAAAAGGTCGCAAAGTTCAAGGGGGCCGAATACTTTCGCAAGGCATTGTACTGTTACATATTTAGCTTGTTTACAAGTAAGGCTATAAAACAGCAGAACAGTACATTGTTTGGTCTGTGTGATCATTTTGTGGCTTGACCCTATTATCTCCAGAAGACCATTAGCTGCTTTTCAATTTAGTTAATACAGTGTAACTTACAGAAAAGCGTTCATACTTTGCTGTATGAACGTAGAACATTGGTCAGAATTACCACTCATTGCACACTTGTTTTGTTGTAAGCTTCCATTTGTGTTAACAGGTCACTAGGAGGCCTTTTGGTTGAGGTTTGAAAATGTGTGTCTTCTAAACTGTCTGTGATGGACTTCCCTAGCTGAGGCCATTCTCCTGATACCAGTTCGCTCTGAGTGTTGACGCTGTGGAGCAGCGTTCCTCATTGCTTGTATGTGCTTAGCAGCTAGCTCAGGGAACTGCTGGGTGTACAGATGTTCTGTGTACTGCAGTTCTGGAGTTATAAGTCTCTGACATTTTGTTTTGGTTTGTCTGTCTATATGTGGGTTTAGGTTATAGCCCTGAATGACAGCGCTTCCATACTGGAATGGCTTCAGCCTGGCATCTTTAATCTGGGATGGGTCAACTGCCCCACCATCTTTCAAGCAGGTGTTTGCCAGTTTGGCCTGTAGCTCTCTCAGCTGAGACACTTCCCTCTTCATCTGCTCTTGCCCAACCAGACTGTTCACTTTGTGCCAGAAGCTGGTGTTAAAGTGCAGATAAATCCTCCAGTCTAACGCATTCCACCTCTTGATTTTTTCTGCAGTGTTTGCTAAAAGTGGGTGATGAGTTGGCTGTCTGCGACTGTTAAGCTTAAAGGATACCACATCTTCCAGGGCCCAGCAGAGGGCATGTTTGAGCAAGATCATGGACTCATCAAAGTACTCAGTAATAAGAATAAGGTGGAAGTCCCGTTCAATGGCTGCAATAGCCATGCTGGCTCTCTCCTCTATATCTTCAGCATCAGCTGCAATGTTGTTGTCAAAGCCAAAGTCAAAAGCCAGGATATTGTGAGCGTAGTGGTTGTTGGACACTGATGAGTTGTAGTTTTTCCAGCCGTTGTCGAGGAATTCATCCAGGTTGTGCGCATTGCTGAAGGCTGGGATGCTCTTGTAGTACATAAAGATAGATTCCATCATATTGACAGGATTCCTCAGGATCGAAAAGTAGAAAGTATTCTCAGGCATCACTTTAGCCACCTGGGACATAACATGGCAAGAAATGTATTTTAGAGTTGGCATGTTGACAAATTGAAGTTCTACTTCCTTGTCACTGAATTAAATAATTAAAAACATTTTATATTTTATAGGTAAGAGAAATGGTGCATGTTTTTACAATCTCTGAAGCCAACATACCCATTGAAGCCCCATGTGGCTAAGTGCTCTAGCATTTAAGACTCATTTGGACTAAGTGGGGCACATCAAATCTGCCTAGTGGTGTCATTTTTAAGTCGGACTGATACTATACAGATATAGGCATTCAAAGTGTCACTCCCTGTGACAGTGAAAGTGGCCACTTTCACAGCGACTGCTCATCATTTGTCCCACAGTATGACATATGTTACAATATAATGTCTGTAGGTGGTGTGCAGCCTACACTCACAGGTATAGCACCCTGTGCATACACACATATCACTTCCATAGGCTGCTATATGAAAGCCTACTTAGAAGTAAAGAAAAAACCCTGTGCTTTGCTTTAAACCATGATTATATTGTGTGTGGATTGTGATGTTAGTTTAAAATTTTGTAGATTTGCCTTTGGACAAATAAGCCAACCATCTCAGCTAAAAGCTATGCTCCTAGAGTATGCAACTCCAGTATAAATGCAGATATGTTTTGTTGGGAATGTATTTGGTCAATGGATGTGTAGCGTACCACAGCAGGTTATAGCCTACTTCTTAGGTCAGTGTGTCTCCTAAAATATTTCTATACAACTCTTTTTTTAGGGATCATCTTGTTTGATAATACACCAATGCAACATATAATTGAATAAATGAAGTGCTGCATTTTTCTACAGACATAGCAGCCTTTTGTTCTCATCTGGAGGAGATGGTGGAGCTGCAAAACATAGTACTATCACCTCAGATGCCGGAGTTTGAGTCTGCTTTGCATTTTAGTTGCTCTTCTTCTATGCTTCTTGATCATGTGGGGGTGGCACCAGCCACTGAGAAGTGACACATAACTCCTGGTGTGGTATGCTGTTACCAGCTTGCAGCATGAACGCACTATTTTAACCCCTCATCAGAAAAACTAGTGAAATTTTTCAAATCTTGCTGGAATGAAATTACAAATAAAAAGTGACTGCTACAGAATGTAAGGACGTTCTCTTGGTGCAATATTTCAGCCAATCACATGTCTCGATGAACTGGCTCTCTTTAAGGTGGAGCTCATTGCAAGGCAGCATGATTACTCTGCTGATAGTTAGATTTAAATAAAAGTGTATTTACCATGCTGATTATTTTAGTACTTATTTACTTAAGCTGTTTGATATTAATAGGGGAAAAATTGCTCAAGAATGTCTTTATTTCCTGATGGTGTGATGATGTGAAGGCTGGGTCCATGGACCTGCAAGGTGCTAACTACAGTGGAAAATGAAATGTACTGTGTCACAATATGACATGCAACTTAATTATTATTATTAAATATCTCCTATACAGTATGGCCAGTCATTACAGAGTGAGAGACACCCATCGAATATGTGAGCTGGTCAGGCAGTCCGATAATAATGTGGGGCATTTCATTATAGCTGCCGTGCCGGCTTGCTGCTTATTGTAGTGTAATTAAAATGAACAGTGACCATGCCCATCAAGCACAAATAGCATCGTAACAGTCGGGTTTTGGAACACGCCCTGTTCTTTGCTTATTTTATAACTAGATGAACCAGAGAAAATTTTGAGCATAATTAAATCTGAAAAAAGACAGTTTAGTCCAGCTAGTCCACTAGTGCAGCTGTGCCAAACTCCAAAAACAGTGGTACAGTACACAGCCAAAGGATGCAACATAAAACAGAACATAAACCCAGAAAAACTGACAGACAGCGCATTATGCAGTAGGTATATACAGTACCGTAGTCCATGTCAATTTATATGTCAACCAGCCACAATGAACACAACAGCTGTGAGTGTGGCTCCAAGGGTATGTGACATAGTTTTTGGCCATCCTGTAGCCTCAGTGCGCCATACATAGCTGATTACTCAGGTGTACTGCACATGCAAAACACTTTGTTCGGATTGCAGCATCATTCATGCATGTTACTAAACAGTGTTGCTGACAAATATATTGGGTGTTTTTAACAGATTGGAAGATGAACTGAGCTTGACTTTGTTCACTCAGGCCAGGACGAGCACATGCTGGGTCAAAACCACCTCTGCCACCCCTCTGTTTGTAACAGCACACAAACATCAACATGCCATACACACAACACAAACTGTCCAGTGCAACTAGTGTGCTCAGAATGCCTAAGCATGATGCAGCATGTGGGCATTTTGCAGGTCCATATAGAAATAATGCACCAAATATGTTTGCATAATCACTTCAATGATATGGGTACCACCTACCCTGTTGCCCCCAAATATTTGATTGAAGATTTGCTCTTGTTGTGTAAAGTTACTGTAACTCCATTTACTTTACACCCTATCCGCCATGTGCTGTGATTAAGTTACTATTTGTCCAAATATTCTGTTAAAAACTGTGCATACCAGCTGTGGTTCAGGTTTGTTTTAATATGATAAATTTTAAAATCTAATAATGAAAACACTTTGAAGCAGTTTATAGGCTACTGTACAGAGTGATCTCTGGTTACTAACCAGCCAAGGCAAAGAAGCGGTGGAGGAGTCCTATGGATGTAGATCCCCAGCCTAATGTTTGAGGGAGCATCTGGGTACTACCCAGGACACACAGTTTTACCTTACCCACTCTTCACAATTTGTCCATCTCCACCTTGTTTATTCATTTAGCCCATACTTTGTCCACATAAACTAGGCTGTAAATTCAGTCAAACAACACGACTTGAATCATTTTCTAATGAGACTCACCTCAGGTTTGTTAAACCTCATGTGGTTACACATGATGTGAAACTCCCTCACAGTTCTGCTGCTGACACCTTCCACAAAACGTGATTCAAAGGAGAATGGGTAAAACAACTGGCTTTGTTTGTTCAAAGGAAGGGCAAAGGTCAAGTTCTTGCTTTCACCATAGCGATACAGGATATTTAAGATGGTGCTGCTGGCTGTTTTGTGTGTCTTGAGGAAAACAATATGAGACTTTGGGTGGCAGGTTGAACTGGTATGGGCACTGTTGATGTGGGCCTTCAAAAAACTGGATGGACAAGGCAAATTGTCTGTCCTGCCAGTTAAACCTTTCCTAGCACGGTGGAGGACCAAAGAACGTGGAAGCTCAGGGTTTGGCTCATTTCCAAGTTTTGCTAGAGGCCGTTTTCCAGGGGAAACTTTTATTGTTTCTGTCTGAGAGCCTGTAGCAATATTGAAGATTTTATCCACATGTCTCAACAGAATATCATCTGATCGCTTTCCATATTCTCCATTGTGATGATGAAGATCTGAAGTTCTTTCTGTCTGCAGTGATCTGCCATCCTGCTGTACAGCCAATGAGGATGTAGAATGTAGGCTTTTCCAGAGAGTAAACAGGTGGTGTTTGTTGACAGTGATTCTCAGATGTGTGAGTTCTGTCAGCTTGTCACTCCTGGAAGAAGATGTAAACACAGTGAGTGTGATGTAATATGATGTACAGTATTGTAATATGTTACAACTAACTCTCTCAACTTTCTTTTGGTCCCTAAATTCTCAAGACACCAGAAAAGTCATTTCTTGTCAGATTGTGATGATATAGTTTAAACTAAAACCTGGGGTCTTGTCAAGGGCTGAAGTTTATGTTGTACAGACAATGGCACCCAGAAAGAATAAGTTGATCATATTCTCATAACCGCATATTCTTTTGTTTCCAGTAAATCTGAGTAGTTAGGGGGCAGTGTCATGACCTTAGGTTTTACAATTAAAATGTGCCATATGCCTTAAGTACATATCATATGAAGTACCATGTCATACCATCATCATAAGTATTTTCTGGTCAAACAATATCTACATTCTTCCACTATTTATGGTATTTATGATCTTCAGCCAGTGGGAATTGGCACATCTACATTGGTAAGAATAAGAAAATTATTATTATTATTTTGTCACCTAATTTATAGTTATTATTTGTAATTAATGTTTGCCCAGAACTCAGACATTTCAGTGTTACAGTGAATGTGACTTTACCTGGCCTGGCTGGCGACAAAGGTCTGAACAGCAATACAGATGACAAATAGGATGAGCAATATCCACAGAGAGTGATGCCTGCTGCACAGTCCTCTCCTCACACACCTGCAGAGGGCACCACACACACACACAGACAAAACATACTGCTGAAAGCCTCCCTGGTATCAGCAAAGCCTGAGACTGCTCTTCATGTAAAATATGATTTGGTGCAGGTGATACTTTTAGCCATTGTGCAATGAGCACCAATCAAAATATCTGGTTTGAACTGGAGCTAAAATATTTTGGAATGAAAAATGTATTTTGACAGCATCTGCAGATGGATGGTAAGCCTGTGTGGAGACGAAGAGACTGTGTGGAGGAAATGACAGTATGAGAGAACAGCCACTAAACTCAAGCTGTCTCTGGGAGAAGCAATATATCAAACTATGATGGAATGAGTTTTCCATTTCAACAGACTCAGACAAAACCACAGTCTTCACAGTGTCTCACCAACAAATGTTCTCCTGCTCACCAAACTAGGAAACTGCTTCAAATAAATACATTTAGTCAGTGTATATACTGTAGCAGTGCACTGGTTTCCAAACAATTTTATGCCTACAAACATTAACTAATGTGATGCTGTAACCATGACATACAGGAGCGGTTTTCCAAGGACTTACCAAACAACACAAAAAAACAACAGTCCAAGAAAAGTCCCAAGTACAGGAATATGCCCACTAAGGCTACTCAGGAGAACAGGCAGGGAACTAAGGGCCATCCCAAAACGGGACTCTCAGGCTCTGACAGCAATAGTAGACCATTCCGGAGGGTGAACTTAGGACGAGGCGCAAAACAGGGGAGTCTCCTTGGATGGATGAACTCAAAACCAGGCAGGATCAGATGACCACTCTGGTGCTCAACTTTGGGATACAACAGGGGGCTGAGGACGTTGCTCTGGTGGATGATCTTGGAGCTAGACTAGAGACTGGAGAAGCTGACCAGGCAGATGATCTCAAAACCAGGTGGGAAACTGATGTTCAGGCAGACTTCCCTGGCACCAGGCAGGAGGTTGATGAAGCTGTGCAGGTGGATGTCCTTGGAACCAGGCAGGGAGCTGATGAAGCTGTCCTGGTGGATGGCCTCTGGACCAGGCAGGAAGCTGAAGAAACCGAGCGAGAGGATGGTCACCTAACCAGGGAGAGAACTGAGAGGGCCACTCCAAAGGATGGCCTCTGGACCAGACAGAAAGCTGAAGTGACTGCATGAGAGCATGGCCACCGAACCAGGCAGGGAATTGAGAGGGCCCCTCTGGAGGACAACCTTAAAACCAGACAGGCAGCTGAAGAGGGCAACCAGGTGGATGGCCACTGAACCGGGCAGGCAGCTGAGAGGGCCATGCCAGGCACCAGGCAAGGAGCAGAGGAGGCCATTCGAGAGGACGGCCCAGACGCTAGGTGAGGAACAGAGGGGGTCAATCAGGAGTATGGCCCAGGCACCAGGCGAGGAGCTGAGGAGGCCGTTCAGGTAGACAACCTCGGGACCTGACAGGTAGCTGGAGAGGCCATTCTGGTGGAAGACTTTGAAATCCGGCAGAAGGCAAAGAAGGCCGCTCGGGTGGACTGTCTCGGGACCTGGCAGGGAGCTGAGAAGGCCACTTGGGCGAGTGACCAGGAGACCTGACAGGGAACTAGAGAGACTGCTCAGGCAGATGGCCTCAGGACCAGATGGGGAGTCGAAAAGGCCGCTTGAGCTGGTGGCCTCAGGATGGAAGACTGGAGAGGCTACTCAGGTCAGCCTCGCAGTTTAATGGAAACCCACGGTCGCTCTGAATCATGATGTCCAGGTAGGGTCAGCAAACTACAGACACAGATTACAGCCCTGTGTAAAGCTAAAGACAAAATTGCCAGTGTGACTGACAAATTTTGCAAATCAAACAAAAGGCTGGTGAGATTTTAATAAACTGCAGGCTCAAGAATGCAGAGTATGTGAGATGAAATGTAAAGATTATGAAGGGTGAGAAGCTCCAAGCAGCCCAACTCATGCCCCCAGGAAATAATTACTGGAGCCAATGAACAGCAATACAGTGGACCCCAAAGAAGTAGGATTTTAGGCACGTTGGACAAGAGGAGGTAAAGGAGGCTGTGGCCCACAAAAGTGCCCATACTTTAAATGCTATATCTGTGGCAAATACAGTATGGACATAAAGCTAAAGACTGTTAAAAGAAAAAGGGTCCATGACCAGGACCATTGCCTGTACTAGCCTGGGAAACCAGCCCTCTGCCTGACTTGCAAAACCCACAACAGGAGGTCAGGCATCAAAGATATTTATAACTTTGGGAGCCTCAGACATTCCTGGTTTTGAACTCTTATATAAGATTCTTTCCTTTTAAATTTGGCAGCAATGAAGACAAACATGTCTTATGGCTGATTTCTGTCCTGTGAATGTAATGAGTATGGTCCCACCTCTGGAAATCCATATGAAGATCGCTCAGATGAGATAAATGCGTGCTTGAGTAAAATGCAGTATGAAAACTCAAAACAAAGGCTAAATATACTGCTCAAAAAAATAAAGGGAACACAACATAGTTGAATATCTTATTTTTGTGTTCCCTTTATTTTTTTGAGCAGTGTACATTAAATATATATGATAATTATGTAAGATGTGGCACTTACACTGTCAAATGGGGGGATCTACTGGGAATGTTCTAAACAAGTGACTTATTCAGCATAAAAAGAATTGTTAGACTATGTATCATGCTTTATGACTGCTGATACATGTCCTAAAAAAACAAAATCCTTGTTCTTATATCTTTGTATTACTTACCAGTTAGTGTCAGGATACATCAATTTTACAAGACTGGATTTTCTTTGCCGTGCATTGGCTGTTTTTTGGTCAAAATATACAACTTTGCAGCAGAACTAGCAAGTAGTGTTCTTGTTGCTTTATTAATGGGCTAATTGTACTTTCTGTGTCTGTTTAGTGACAAATTTTGTCATTTTCCGAGGTCTGTGAGAGTGTGTATCTGCATGTGCAAATACAAACACTTATGTCAGCAATATAATTACTCAAAGGAGAAATGCTCTTTTGTATAATGTATCGATCCACACCTCCAAAATGCTGATTTAAATCTCTGTGTTCACCTGGACAGCAGCTCTCCTACAGCCTGTGTCTGTGTAGATTTGTTGCTGGAGTGATACTCAGCTCTGCTGAAATGAAATTCCGGAAGCACTCAATAGCTGTGGGTAGGTACTGCTAGAATAAACAACACATTTGTACTTAGCATGCAAAGACACACACAGTACACCCTTCACCTCTCTTTTCACCTCTTCATTCAGTCTGAAATTTTAGGCCAATATTGTTCAAATCTAGTTCATTTGGACTGTCCCATCATGATTTAAATGTTGTTTTGAAGGATTTTCAACCCTGGTACTTTCTTGAGGAAACACTGAATATCACAGAACTACTGTGTGTTTGTCAGATGAAATCTGGTATTTGAACAATATGTTTGGCTGGCACAAAAAATAAATGTCAACATTTATTGTATATTTTTCAGAACAAAATGCTTTCTACTAGCCCATGAGAAAAACAAAGAGTAACAGGAGGCGAGTATTGCATACTATGAGCTGTATTTGCATAAACTGGAGAAGAGAGAAAATTAAATCCAAAGGCTATCACTAACATAGGCCTGTTTCAAAAAAAAAGGTATGGTTCTTTGCATATGAGATAAATAAAAACACTATCTGAGAATTACAGCAGTCAAATTTAAAATAATGGTATAACATGTATTAGCTACTGACTGCGTTCTCCAAATGTCACAGTATCATCTACTTTCCATGACCCAAAATCCATGTTTTAGAACCTAGAAGGAAGAAGTGGGGGCCAGTTCCACACTGGCCAGTGGCTTTTTGATGTTCTGCTGGTTTGATGTTTTAGCACAGTCAGAGCTTTCTAAAAACAGGGCTCAGCAGCTGGTCACAACTTAACCACAGCCCCAGATGGAAAAAAAATTAGACTTTTGGCCTGCCAACTCTAAATTCCACATATTATGTGCATAAACAATAAAACTGTTGAAATGGAGTCCTTAATTCATTCAAGACAGATAAATATACAGTCAAGAAGAACAAATTATTCATGTCCAGTGCTCCTTATTCATTCACATGTCCAGAAGTTTCCATCACATTATACTTCATGCTGATCACACTGGGCTGTTTGGAATATAAAGAGAATGGTAGGGTAGCAAACATAAGGAGTCCTTATCTACTTGGACAAAAACTACAAACTGCAGAAATGAAGACATTTATATATATTTGTCATTCTGAATAATTTTAAACATGATGCCATGTTTTAAAAAATAAAAGCAGGTTTCCAAAGACCAGATGTATTTAAATAATGAGATATAAAGTCCTACTCCTGTCAATTTGGTGTGATCGGCTTGATTTATGGTTTTATTGTTTTATTGCCCTTATCAGTCATACCTCCACACACTGCACACTCTCCTCACTTGTTAGCACCTTTCCATCTCTGTCTTTAATCGCCCTTATCTGTTGCACATCCTTCCCATCTCTATCTCTCTGTCTCGCTAATCTGTACAAGTCCTTCTCATCTCATCACGTGTCTAACCTGGCATACAACTCATCATGTGCTTTCTGTTTGGTCCATTGCCACCTCCCTCTTCACTCTACGCTCCAATTTCTTGTAATCCTGTCTACTGTCTTCAGTCCTTTCTACGTCCCACTTCTTTTTAGCTAGCCTCTTCCTCTGAATGCTGTCCTGTACTTCCTCATTCCACCACCACATTTCCTTATCTTCTTTCCTCCTTCCAGATGACACACCTAGCACCTTCCTACCTGTCTCCCTGATCACTTCT